TATCACCTGAATCTCCTCCTAGAGCTCCATTGAGTTCTTTGTAACCAAATCTCTCTCAGAGGGGCGTGGGGAGGGGCTCCTTATTTTCATCTAAAGTAAGAGACTTTGGAAACAGGGCTGAAACAGAGGGGATTATGGGTAATGCTGCAATGATTTGTTTGGTGTTTCAGCCACTCAGAGACAGTCTCTGGATATATCTGAGACCTATAGTATATTGATGAAAAACAGTATGATAGGGGACCTTTAATTTATCTTTAAAAAACCGAATATCAATCTTTTTGACTTTTCTCCCATCTTTTTTCTTCAGAATCGACTGCAAGAAAGCCTCGCCTTGTTCAAGACCATCCTCTCCTACTCCTTTTTCCAGGAGTCCTCCACCATCCTCTTCCTGAACAAAAAGGACCTGCTGGAGGAGAAGATCTCACGCTCTCATTTGGCGACATACTTCCCGGCCTTCAAAGGTAAAGCATGCTCTTCTCTGTGAATAAAATCCCTTTTTACTATTTAATGCTCCATATTTACTCAACATTTCAGAGGGAAATTATGTACTTTTGACTTCATTTCAGACATCTAACTGCCTTCAGAACCTGTAGTTTGAAAACATATAACGTTCTTTTATATACTGTGCCTTGTTATAAATAAAACTGCCAAACTGCATATTTAGTTGCAACTAAAATGATTTGTTGATTTACCGCCTCGCCTGCATATTGCTCTTTTTCTTTTCTTTCCTGGCAAAAATATAAAAATAAATACTCCTAAAGTATTCCACGGGGTTTTCTGATGAATGAAAACTAATGTTTGTTGTCCACAGCTGTCGTTAAATTATCCACCGACTGCTTTCTGCGGATTGATATGACAGCACATAGTCCCTTTATCCTCCTCAGCAACGTTCTGTTCTCCTTAGCAACGGTCTGTTCTCCTTAGCAACGGTCTGTTCTCCTTAGCAACAGTTTGTTATCCTTAGCAACGGTCTGTTCTCCTTAGCAACGCTCTGTTCTCCTTAGCAACGGTCTGTTCACCTCAGCAACGTTCTGTTCTCCTTAGCAACGGTCTGTTCTCTTAGCAACGGTCTGTTAGCAAAAATTAACAGACCTCTGGAAGGACCAAATTCAAATTCTAAAAGTATAATGGAAAATGGCCCAAACCTGAAACTTGTGCTTGTCTTATATTGTACTTCTTAGATATATATATGAAAAGAGGGATTATTAACACACACACACATATATATATATATATATATGTGTGTGTGTGTTAATAATCCCACTTTTCAAATAAATTCAGTCAATCTTTGTTGATAAAAAAGCACAATAATTTATTTACATAACAAGCTTGAAATAGACCCTTCATATTTCCCCTTTTCATCAGCAATCTGAGGCTTCTGTTTTGAACGAGCTGCCTACGAAATAAATGAAAACTGATGGAGAGCTGTGATATACTTATTTGATTGAATCTGCTAACTCGTAATTTAATTTAGGAAGCAATATGCCTCACCATTAGTGAGGTCCAGCCCTTCGTATGTTTTTCTATATGTGACCCTCAGTGAGAACAGGTTGGACTCCCCTGCTTTAAAATGTCTATCTGTTGGGAGAAGTGAGTGACGGATCAATGCTGGGATCCTCTCTCAGAATGTAATTTCCTCTCTTTCCTCCACAGGTCCTCAGGGAGATGCCAAAGCAGCACAAGAGTTCATCTTGCAAATGTACGTGCAGAACCACGGCGACCATCCCAAAAGTCTCTACAAACACTTCACCTGTGCCACGGACACCAAGAACATCAAGATCGTCTTCAGCTCGGTCAAAGACACAATCTTCCAGGAGAACATTGGCGTATTTAACCTGGAATAAGGCGGGGTGCAGACGGACAGAGTGACGCTTTTCAGGAAGAAGAAGGAGCCTTCGGTCACATGTCGTAAAACGTTATGGACTTTTTTTTAATCTCTTGTCGGCTGCAGTGTGTTCAAAGACATCAAAGGTAGGCAGCCGTTCCAGGTAAGAGACTGGAAATGTGTATTGTTATCATATTTAAGAAAACCCCCTGAAAACAAGTGCCGGATTTTAGGGTTTGTTCGGGTGGTTTTTATTTATTCCCTTCTCATTTTAAGCAATTTATTTGTTTTCTCTTAGGATTACCTTCACTTACTTATCTTTAAAAAAGCTTTAATGTTTTGCTAATGTAAAGCAACTTTAGCTACCCTGAGTGCTATGCAAATGTTATGTATGATCATTATTATTATTATTATGAAATATAATTAAATAAGAATTATTTAATTTACATTAATATGATTTAATGTAATGATAATAATAATAATAATATAAGAAGTAGTCGCCCCTTAAGCAATAACTTTTTGTTGTGATGAATGTAAATGATAGCACAGTTAGCTCGCTGCTGCACCACCTTCTTGATACAGCTGTAAATAAACATCTTGTTTAATTTTGGAAATTATTACATCTATTTTTATTCCAATAAATGTTGACTTTTGGACTTTAAAACGCGAAATGTTTCATAAATTTTTTTTAATCTAATTGTACTAACAACATTATCTTAGCCTCATGTTAAAATGAAAGATACACAGTACTGAAATGTTGATTTTGAATTTAGATTTCTGTGGTATGATGAAGCTCTGAGCGTTCTGGTTCAGCCCTAGTTAATTATCCTCCAGGGTTATTATATAAGAGTTACTTTTATTCAGTTTGGGAGACACCCAATCCTTTATATCAAACTGGTTAGACAAATACTCGTCAACCCATCGGGACTAACAGGAAACAAAAGAAAAGCCGGGAACTAGACTGACTAGATCACACGTGTCAAACTTAAGGCCCGGGGCCAAATCAGGCCAGTGGTGGATTTAATTTCGGCCCGCAGGATAATTTCTAATTCCTATTAGATCTGGCCCTCCGGTATATTGCACGCTTCACTCCATCCTGAGGGTCTCCTCAGCTCAGAGCCTGAGCCCAAACATTGATGACCTTGCACCCAAGATGAGATGCCAAGTATCTGAACTAGCATCACAGAGCAGCACACTGAGTTCAATGGATGTTTCCTTCTGCACTTTCTCTCTCACGACAACAGGGCATGTTTGGTTTCTCTTTGAGGGAAATAGTTTTGTTGAAGCTGTTGTTGGCCTGTGGGAAAATGTAATCATAAGAAATGACTCTGGAAAAGCTGCAGATAGAGCCATAAGAAATGAATGCAACTCATTATGTAATGTTTAATGTTGTTTTTATAGGCAATCATTTAAGCTTTGTTAGTTCCAGGTTTAATATGTGCAATAAGTTCATTTCAATAAGTTCTGTAATAAACATTGAACCAGTCCGGCCCTCGACTAGTACCCATTTTTTTATTTTGGCCCACTGTGTATTTGCGTTTGACCCCCCTGGACTAGATAGATAGATGGATAGATAGATGGATAGATGGATAGATAGATGGATAGACAGACAGACAGATAGATAGATAGATAGATAGATAGATAGATAGATAGATAGATAGATAGATAGATAGATAGATAGATATATAGATACTTTATTTATCCCAACTTGGGAAATGTTTGCGTAGCAGCAGCATATATTCAGCACTGTTCCTAATCTTATTTTGTCAATAATTAAAAAATGTTTGGATATTGAAAACACATGTACAAGCTCTTATTCTACCTTCAAAGTCAAAGTCAACTTTATTGTCAACCTTTCAGTTTGTGTGTACAGACAGAGAGATTGAAAACACCGTTTCCCACAATCCCGAGGAATACAAATATATATAAAAATATGTATATTCGCTCCTACCCTCACCCTTCTTTTTTTTCTTAACAACTTTGACATATAGATATTAAAATCACCCAAATAAGTGTTTTCATACTGGATTGTGAACGTTTTCTTATCTGTTTATTTCACTAACTGAAAGAAATATACAAACTGAAATCACCTGAATTTGTGTTTTTAAACTAAATGAAGTCAGACATTTTAAAAGGATGTTAATCTTTTTTTACCTTTCACAGAACTTTAGATGTAAAAACAAACGTAAGGTTTAGTGAAAAAATGATCAGATATCCTTTATTTGTTGCAAAGAGGGAAGAAATTGGCGGCTGGAAAATGAATAGCAGTTTATATATCTAATTAGATAATGGTTCATTTGCATATTTAAGCATGCTATTTCAGAAAATGTTTATAATACAAAAAAACAATTGTCTTAAGGTACTTAATCAACTGGAGAATTGTCTTGCAGATATCTTTAAGTTAAAAATATGACCCTATTCATGGTGTCTTACCTTAAGAGTGTGAAACTAGCCATATTGTGAAAGTAGATATTGCAAAGCGTTAACAGTTTTGTAACAGTCTTATGGTGAACCAGTAATAGCAATATTAAACTGTAAAAAAAGTATATATTGCACATAAGTATTTTTACCAGTGTTGGTGTGTGTGTGTGGCAGAGATGGCAAAAGTCCACACATCCTTTCCTCAAGTAGAAGTACAGATACTCATGTTTAAAAATACTCTGGTACAAGTAGAAGTACTGACTAAACTTCTTTGCTCAAGTCAAAGTAAAGAGGCTTTGAAATGTACTTCAGTAAAAAGTACCCATAACTAGCAGCTGTTTTAAAGAGTACCTGACCTCCCTTTATATTAATAGAACAATAATGTAATTGTTAGCTAATGAATGTTTCCATGCTGAACAACGGCAACATGACAACGTTTTCATTGGTCCCTCTTCTTTAGAGAAGACCAGGAAATGATGGATACACGGATCGTGTTCAAATCAATAGGCACGCAATGACTCTAAATAATAATGATCACGCCACCAAACACACATTCAGACTAAAGGAACCAGCCTGTTTGGAAAATGTGAGAAGTAGAAAGTACAGGTATTTATGTTCAACATGTAAGAAGTAGAAAGTACAGGTATTTGTGTTCAACATGTAAGAAGTAGAAAGTACAGGTATTTGAGTTCAAAATGTAAGAAGTAGAAAGTACAGGTATTTGATTCAAAATTTAAGAAGTAGAAAGTACAGGTATTTGGGTTCAACATGTAAGAAGTAGAAAGTACAGGTATTTGGGTTCAAAATGTAAGAAGTGAAAGTAAAAAGTCGTCAGAAAAATAAGTAGTGGAGTCTTTACTCCACTACTTATTTTACTGATACCAGAAACATGTACTAAGTACAGTAATGAAGTATTTGTACTCCACTACTTCCCACCTCTGGTGTGTGGTGATGATATATGACAGCAGCTGCACTCATTAACCACAAAGCTGGGCGTGGTCACACTTTTTGGCTTGAGGCGTTATCAACCTTTGTGCTAAACAACGGTGTGGTGTGCAAAGGTCTGTGAGGCTGCCTGTCTGTCTTCCTGTCTTACCGTTGGGACTAAAGAGAGAAAGAGATATTCAGCTTTGGAGAGAACAACGCCTGTTTCTGTGGAAGGAGAGTCTGAGTAGGTAATATTGATTTGATCTGCTTTGTGGCTTTACAGTAGTTTGCTTGTTCAGAGTTAATGCACAATATAAAGGACACATTTTAAGTTGCCTTAACATTATTGTTTCTGAGCGGTTTGATTATTTAAAGAGGCCCTATTATGCTTTTGGGGGTTTCCCTTTTCCTGTAGGTTTCTGTGCATCTAAATGGTCTGCAAAGGCTGAAATCCCACTTTCAGGGACATATAGACATCACTACGTAACACTCCTATTGGCTAGCGCTCCAACACATTGTACCTGATAGGCTAAGGGGCGGGACATCTATTAGCGGTTGACAAATCACAACAGAGCCGGCCAGCTAACCAATCAGAGCAGACTGGGCTCTGGTTTCAGACGGAGGGTTAAAAGAGGTGTTGAAGCACAGGCAG